TAAACAGTGTACAGTTGGGATACAAAAGGAATATAGCATTCAAACAATTAAAAGCAACTATAAATTTGTGGCGGGGGGGGGGGCACACCTCTCTTTAAATGCCTGTTGACATTTTTTAAAAAGTCTTCACCATGCACTGGAAGCGCAATTGAGGGGTGGGTGTGTGACCTACACAACTGAACACACAGCTGCAGTTTGATACAAGCCATGTGTCTGAATCATGGAGGACCACTAAGAGTGAGTCTCCTGTGGACCACATTGATAGGGCAGAGTTATAAGATATCATGCAGTCCCCAAGCTATCATGGACTCAAGTTGTTAAGGGCCTTGTAAATGAATACCTGGCCTCTTAGAAGAACTAGGGCTTCTCTGATTCAGAATTTATATTTCATTTCTGTAGCTGCACACACATTCTCATTATTTTTTAATGTAGACAAAAAAAAAAAAAAAGCTAGCGCAAGGCAGGCAACACAGCTGCCCCAATTTTCTTTAAACTGATGTCTCTATTTCAAGTCGCTTCCAATTTTGTTTCGCCCGCTCTGCATTTGGGAAAAAAAGGGGGACTGTCAATATTATCTGGGTTCACCTCTGGCTAACATGCGATTCTGAAACATCTCAGATGGCTTCCTACAAACTAGATCGCTTAATAGCTTGGAGCTTCATTTGTCCAGGGAATGTGTGCCTGACTAGTGTACATCAGCAGGTTTCATTTAGGATGCTGAGTAGCAATTTCTTTCCTCTCCGTTTTTCTGCAGGGGGGAGCATGTTCCACAGAACCTGAGACGCTGAAAGTGTTCCTTGAACAGCTTTATTTTTAGGTTGACGATAGCTATGGATGAATCAAGGCGGCAGAGATATCAGAATGATAAATATACTGGATGATGATACGCCAGAGGATGTTGCTACAGGCAACAATGTGGGGAAATGTAGAACAAAGTAAGAAATAAATAAGGGAAAAGGGATCTCTACCCTTGATACTCCCCTCCCTCATATTTTGAAAATAAATGTATTTTATGGGTTATAAAAACGGCTAGCTGTGTTTCAGTTCATGTATTTTTTCAGGATGCATCAAGTATGAGAGAAGGGGAGAGGCAGGGTGGTGGGGAGTTCAGCATGGTGCGAACACACTAGCACCAGGTTTGCTCCACTGCTGCATTTGCACCACGCACCCTTCCCTGCCGCCTCCCACTCTCTCCCAGTAAGAAACAGTGAGCCACCTGCTGGGAACCTAGCATTGCAGCCGCAGCTCAGCCAGTGAGGGTGCTTATGCATATGACAGGCGGACTGTCTTCATTAGCTTGGTAGGTTACCATTTTTTCCACTTCTGTGCTAGGTGGTTTGGGTAACCCTAACACAATATAGTCTTGGATTTGCTAGCTAGGAATTCTAACTGTTACCTGATGTGTTTAGAGCACACTGTCTCCTGGGCATTGGCGAGTGAAGTCTAACAAAGCAAGCCTATGCTTGAAGCAGATCTGATGAGAAAAATGCCCTTTCAACATACTTTGGTGTTACACCCAGGGTGGTGTGTGCATGTGTGCAAAAAAAAAGAAAAAGAAAAAAAGCAACTCCTAAGAGCAACAAAGTAGAAATATGCTAATTTTGCAAGCCTCAGTGGGGCAGAAAAGTCATTTTTGAAACAGCCTCAGATAGATGAAGCTGATCATTGAGGAGATATCATGTTTTTTTTTTCTAATGACTGATCTTGTTAGATTGCCAAGGAGCAATTTTGTCTGAGCCACTGGTTGCTTTCAAAGTGTCACTTACAGCTTTGGATAGTGCTTCCCATATTTATTCCCCAAGAGTGGGTAATGTGACCTAGGGTTGTCTCCAGCTCTTACTCAGCAATTTGGGTGAACTGTAGTGAATTGTTGTGGTGGTTTTCCCTCCAAACTTGGATCTCTCTGTATATTTGGATCTCTTCAGTTTAACCTCTAAGACCAAGTTACTGTATTTTGTAGTATACTTTATGATGCAGCAGCATCTCTTAACTTTATGTATATCATTTGTTTTTATTATCTTGTGCCTTGAGGCAATAAAACACTTTATACTGAACTGTGTGGACAAGGAGTTTTCTTCACCGTCAAATCTGGAAAGGCTGACAACTGGAAAAGGAGAAGACTCTGAAGCTTTGCTGGGCTACTTTGGTAAAGGTGAAATATCAAAATGCAATCACCATTGTACCATTTTTCTAGTTTCCCTAACTGAGCACTAATTTTGAGGTATAAGGCACCAATTATGCTTTGAACTGAGGGTTCACCATTTTGTTTTTTGTTTTTTTAAGGAGTCCCAATGATAGAACTGCAAGTTCAAAAGACAGATCGTAGCCTGCATGCATGGCAGCACTTGAAACTGTTAAATCCAATGAGGCTGCTAGTTCAGAGAATTCAGACAGCTATCTATTCATCACAACCTTCTGACATATTATTGAAATTTTAGGCATTCCTTAAGAACACATGACATAGTTATTTACTTGGGGTGATGTACTATATATATCATCTATCTATCTATCTATCTATCTATCTATCTATCTATCTATCTATCTACTATCATCTATCTATCTATCTATCTATCTATCTATCTATCTATCTATCTATCTATCTATCTATCATCTATCTATCTATCTATCATCTATCATCTATCTATCTATCTATCTATCATCTATCAATCTATCTATATCTATCATCTATCATCATCATCATCATCTATCATCTATCTTCATACACACACACACACACACACACACACACACATTTCTCTTTTTAGGATTCTCTAATGCCATTGTTCTTCCTGTCTTTGTTTTATTGAACTTCCCATCTCCAAAGGTTTGCTCCAGTGAGCAAATTCCCATGGACTAGCAGCTTTGTTTACCCCAAATGGTATGGGATTTCTCTTCAGGTCTCAGTGGGTCTGGCCAAATGCACTATTTTGCTCGGGGAAAGTTATGCACCCTGGTTTGCAAGGTGATTCAATGCCTCTTTGCTTTTGACAGAAGGAACTTAGTAAGATGCCAACAACAACAATGACATGTATCTGAAAGCTTCATATATGTAGTGGTTAGAGCGTGAGACTAGGACCTGGGGCACCATGATTCAAATCCCCACTCACAAATTTTTGACTGGGTGACCAGTCAGGAGGGGGGTGGAGAAGCATGTATACCACCTTCAGCTCCTTGAAGAACAGGGTGGGATGTAAATGCAAAAAATGAAATTAAATGAAATATAGACAAGGTTCTTCAGCTCAGCACTCGTATAGAAATAGAGTCGAAATAACAAAAACAAATGCCCCCTAGTTATCCTTTGGTTCTTGTGCCATGTCCCTTGGCATTACCCCTTCCCCTGTTCTTCTTTCACTATATTCAACCCAGTTCTTAAAATTCAGGCACTCCACTAGCATAAGCTTCCCTTTGGCTCTTTTTCACATCCTCCTCCAAGCAGTTGAACTCCAGAGGGATGTAAAATCCAGCAGCCTTTATTGATATTCAAGGCAGAATAGAAGGTTTTGTTTATCTAGGGCAGAATCACGCATACCACCATGACATTTACTCATAGCAAGTAAAGGTGTGTGTGTGCTTGTAGGGAAGATGCAGAATTTTCATTTTTAAAGCAGTTAAAAACAACAACAACCCAACCATGAAAGCCGTTTTTGTTAACAACACAAGAGAATTTACCGTAACACCATATTACTTTCACAAAACAATATGTACCCAGTGCAAACTCCCACATTGCAAAAATGGAGGGGTGCTTTGAACGCCGACACAGCAACTCCATACCCAGGCAGGAATAATTGGCTTTTCCAATAAAACAGAACTTCAGCAAGTATTCCTGCAGCTGACATTACTGATCAGAACAACAGAAATCTCTCTTGCTTCTGACAAAAGCTTTTATAAAAGAAAAGGCAAATGTGTGGGAGAACTGCATGCTAAAGAGATGTCAGGACTCCTTCAGCTTTTTATTTTGGTGTACACATCAAAAAGTTACTATTACAGCACAATCAGGAAGCAGCAACAAATATTTATTGTAAAAGAAAGATATTGCAAAAGCATCCATTTCCAGGACACTACACTAAAAGTCTTCAGTACTGTCTCAGCCTGAGCCTGTGACATCCAATGTTGTTGTTGTTTAGTCGTTTAGTCGTGTCCAACTCTTTGTGCCCCATTGACCAGAGCACGCCAGGCACTCCTGTCTTCTACTGCCTCCCACAGTTTGGTCAAACTCGTGTTGGCAGCTTCGAGAACACTGTCCAACCATCTCATCCTCTGTCATCACCTTCTCCTACTGCTTGGGAAACGGGGGCTCAGGAAACAATACAATCTTCTAACAACTGCCAACTTCCTTTGATCTGGAGTTTTATTTCCATGAAATGTGTGTGTGTGTGTGTGTGTGTGTGTGTGTATAAGTTGGATGCTACATACCATAACACACATTGGGAGTCCAGCAAGATGTTCTGCCAACCGGGTGCCTCCAGATGTTTGGATTATAGCTCCCTTCAGCCCAGTGGTTGGTGAATTGGCCTCCACAGTCACTTACGGACTCACTGTTAAGACCATACAAAAAAAATTCCTTCCAGTAGCACCTTAAAGACCAACTAAGTTAGTTCTTGGTATGAGCTTTCGTGTGCATGCACACTTCTTCAGATACACTCAAGAAGTGTGCATGCACACGAAAGCTCATACCAAGAACTAACTTAGTTGGTCTTTAAGGTGCTACTGGAAGGAATTTTTTTTGTTTTGACTATGGCAGACCAACACGGCTACCTATCTGTAACTGTTAAGACCATGTTCATGAAAGACAATCTTACTCAGCTACCAGTGACCGCCAAAGAGGAAGAATAAGAATAGTGATTTCTCAATCCACTAACTTTGCACACAGAATTTCAGGTACGGTAGTTGTTCTCCTATCGTTCACATGGCCAATTAGCCCATGAAGAAAACCAATGTGAACAAAAGGAATCCTTAAGAGGGCTTAAAGTATTGTCTGTGTGTGTGAAAGAAAGACTTACTTGGTGTTGTCTGAATCAATGGTATGGAAAAGCTTTTCAAGTTCTTCCTCGTTAAGAGTTCCATCGGAGAAGAAAGCCTGGAATTCCTCCAAGGACAATTTCCCATCATCTGCAAGCAAACAGAAGGTATCACAAGCAAGTTAAACACACACACACACATCCTAAGGAGGGATCACATCCAATAAGACCATAAGAAGGAGCCTACTGGATCAGGCCAATGACCTAGCTGGTAAAGTATCCTGTTCCAAGAGTAGCAACCCAGGTGCTAACCTGCAAATAGGACCCAAGCACAAGAGCTCCCTCCCTTCCTGTGGTTTCCAGCAACTGGTATTCAGAAAGATATTGCCTTTGTCCATGGAAGCAGAGCATTGCCTCCACAGTCCATGGAGCATAGCCTCCATTGCTGCTAGTAGCCATTGACATTAAGTTATCTCATCGTCTTTTAAAGTCATTCAAGCTGGTAGCCATCACTGCCTCCTGATCTAATGATCTATCCATGACAACTGAGTGATCATCATCTCCTCCACCCTCCAGACCACTCCTGAATCCCATCTGGATGAAACACTAAATTAAGGGTGTGATTTTCCTAATTTGTGGGCCCCTGTAAAACTCAGCATGGATAATGCATGTCTAGGACACCCATTATAGCACTCAACAGTCCACTCAACATCTTCTGAAGCAAAATGAAATGCTTGCCAATTGCAATAATTCACACATTCAGCTGCGAGTCATCAAAAGACAAGATGCTGAGCAATGAGCTTCTACAGATAACTGGACATCACATGTAATTTGATTTGATTTGATTTAAAAGTATTTCTAAACTGCTTAATATTTTAAAAATCTCTAAGCAGTTTACACTATAAAAAATATCATCCATTAAAGCAAAAATACAACCTAAAATAACAAATCAATAAAAGATCCTTTGCCTTTACCCTTTTTACCTTATGGAAAACAGGGGCAGTCATTAGAAGATGTCAGAAGCAAACAATGGCTGCTGCTACATATCTGACACAGGGAAATGGTAGTTTTGTGCAGGTAAGATTGGATTTTCATTGACAAATCAGCATGAAAACAAAGCATTAAACTCTCTTCTACCTCACCACAGTCCCAATCCATTCAACATGCATTTCTTTATCAATGCATTAAAGATTCTCTCCCTCCCATGCAAGTAATGGGTCCTTTAGTTTTTAAAGAAAACATCATCAATAGCTATTCTGAAAACATCAGTACAGAAATATCACCAACACTTAACACTGATCATTTAAAAGCAAGTCAGGAAATGGATGGAGAAAACCCTAAAAGCTGTTTCCCATCTGCATCAGTTCAAGATAATTCGAAAGAAATAGAACTGATCCAACCAATGCCTGTGTTTTTAAAAGTGCATTGCGAAGGCAGGCATGTGAGTGTGTGTGTGCATGTGTGTGTCAGTTCTAGTGTTGAAGCAATGATTCTTCAACATCAACTTCATTGGACTGGTCATATTGTGCAGATGCCTGATGATCGTCTTCCAAAGCAACTACTCTATTCTGAACTTAAAAATGGAAAGTGTAATGCTGGTGGTCAACAAAAGAGATTTAAAGACTGTCTTAAGGCAAATTTTTAAAAAATGTAGTATAAACACCAACAACTGGGAAACACTGGCTGGGAAACAGTTGAAGAACAGCCTTTACCAAAGGTGTCATGGACTTTGAAGACACTCGAACTCAGGACGAAAGGGAGAAATGTGCTAAGAGGAAGGCACGCTTGGCAAATCCAGATCGTGATCAACTCCCGCCCGGAATCCAATGTCCTCACTGTGGAAGGACGTGTGGATCCAGAATTGCCTCCGCAGTCACTTACAGCAGGCATGTCCAAAGTCTGTTTTGGGGGCCTAATCCGGCCCTCCAGTCGATTTAATCTGCCCCCCATGGCAGTATATGTCCTGGGGTAAAATCCTTAAAAAAGCTCAACTTTGGTCGGCCCTCACGCATGTTCGCTTCATCAAATCCGGCCCTCTTTGAAAAAAATTTGGGGATCCACTGAATTACGGACTCATTGTTAAAACTGTTTATGGAAGACCATCTTACTCAACTACGAGTGATCACCAAAGATTCATAGATTGCCTAGAAATATTTATTCATGTCAGAGCATGAGAAACATCATTTATTTAATCAGATCAAAGGCATGTTTTTCACTCAGAAAATGTTACCTTGTTTCATGCATGTTACTGACTTTGCAGGAAAACATTTAATAAACATATAAACAGTTCCTTCAGAGACCTAAGCCCGCTCACCCTTTCTTTCGTGTGGCGGCATTGAGGGATGGAGGAGGCTTCACTGGGGCCCCAATGAGGGAATTCAAACTGACTGGGCCCTTCCTGATTGGCGGAGAGGGCATAAGCCCCTTCCGCCTATCAGGAACCGGATCCTGGCCTGCACCCTGCTTTGGCAAATAGGGATGCAGGCTGGGGCTTGGGCTGTGCTGGGGGGTGGGGCCAATGGAGCCGACGGTGGGCTTCCCTTGGATCCACCCCTCGCCCATTTAAGCAGCCAGCGCCTGAGGCTCAGGGTTTTCCCTGCCCAGCCACCTAACCAAGTTTCCATGTTCCACCTGAATGCTGCCTTTAACACAGTCAGCCAAAATGACTTGATAGGATTGCAGTGTGTCTCCTCAGACTGATCATTTGATGAGCAGACAGAGGGTGATAATGTCCTCTCCTCAACTAATCTTCATAAATCACCGTGTGTGTGTCCCCGGAATGTGGGTGCATTTGAGGCTGTGTGCGCGAGAATGTGAGATGACCACATTCTTCTCTCTCTCTTTTTGAACTTCCATTGTAGCTATGAAGTCCCTGGACATTTGGGCAAGTGTGAACCTGTCTCTAAGGCACCAAATAAGAAAAGTGAGGCTAGCCTCCCCTACGATAAAAAAAAAACATCACCGAGAACATTGCCTCCAAACTAAGACCAGCCCAATGTTAATTAACAACAATAACTACCTAAGCTGATCTCAAGTCCTTAAAAGTTTTACCCAGAAGGTTAAATCTTATCACAAAGCATCCTTCACAGCCGACAACGAAGTTTGTACTGCATGGTAAGACTGACATTGCATAAAGCTCATTTAAAACCTGTTCGTTCAAGCTATATATCTATAATAGATTTTTAAAAACGTGCACACATCACAGCATTAAGCCATGTATTGACACAATAGAGAACCAGGACTAAGACCCGTGCAGTTTGGGAAGATAAGACCAGCCAATATCATAGAGACTTGGAAACTGCGATTAAGAGACTTAAAAAAAATCCTTTCCCCTCCCCAAACGACTGGCTGAACAGATGTAATACCCTGCTTACCCAGCCAGTACAAGTTAAGATAAGTGATGCTGAATATGGAAGTCTTTGTATGCTAGCAGCCTTATCAGGAAGGGCACAGAAATGTACGCTGGAAGTAGAGTCACATGGCTGGGCTATGGGTAGGATAAGGCAGGTAATTCTGCTCAAGATATAATTTGATGTCCAAGGGTGCTCAGATGTGCTAAGACCTGATGGCTGAATCCTATTAGTCACACACTGATTTAAGGATCAAAATGCAGTTTAAAATGAGAAGTGTCAACCTGCTTGGATGGTGTGTAGCAAGGGTAGCCAACAAGGTGCCCTCTGGATGTTGCCGGACTCTCAGTCTCATCGTCCCTGACCATAGGCTAGCCTAACTAGGACTGAGGTAGAACTAGATACATGCCCCCCCCTTAATTGACTCTCTTCTCTCAGTCAGGAGGGGGAGATTGATATGCAATGTCTCCTTCCCGCTCCCAACCATGTGTTTAATCACAATCTTAAAAAACCTTAATGAAGCATTAAACGTAAAGGTAAAGGTACCCCTGACCGTTAGGTCCAGTCGTGGACGACTCTGGGGTTGCGGCACTCATCTTGCTCTATAGTTCGAGGGAGCCGGCGTTTGTCCACAGACAGCTTCCGGGTAATGTGGCCAGTATGACTAAGCCTAAGCATTAGCCTTCCTCAAAAATTGATTCAGGGCCAAATTCAGAGTAGGTGGTCCACAGGCAATCCTGGATTAGGTTGGGGGGGGGAGGCTGTCCACAACCCTCATTGAGAGTGATGCTCACTGAGAAGTTTGCAACGGTTCAGAACATACCTGGTACAAACATCCATATTGCAATGTTCTGCTGCATGATGAAGTGAGTGTCATCTCCCTAAAAGAAGCTGAAATTTCACAGCTCAACTTGGGGGGGGGGGGGAGACACACCAAGCAATTTCCTGATATTTTGGAAAACAGCACTGATTGCTGAGCCCAATCCAAGCGACAGAGGGTGATGCCTAAGCTGACAAAGCAAACTCATTTGGCCCTTGCACTCAGCCACTAAAGTGCCTCTTGCACAGTGGCAGAGCTTCATGCTCTGGCACCGGGGTGGGGGGTGGGGAGAGCAGGTGGGGGGCTGGTGTGCGTCCTGGGGGTGTGGTGCGCTGCCTGTGGGGGCGTGGCACCCAGTGCGGGTGGGGGGGCAGCTGCGATGGCTCCCCACCAGGATTGCACTGCCTGGGTTGGTGCTCGCGCCCTACACTCCTCTTCCTCCGCCAGTGCTTTGGTGTCCTGGGTGAGAAGCGATCAGGAAACTGTTTGAGGCCCGAACAAGTTCATCTCTATAAAGTGTTTATCTTTCTCTGCTCAACACTAAACGCACACAAAGCTCCCCATGATCTCTCTCCAGTAGACTTCAAGATCTTGCTTACGACAAAGCTTAACTAAGCACTTCAACAGGAAATTAGAATTCTCTGCCATGGAGTGTGTTCCCACTCCCAATTCTTGAATGAAGTGAGCAGTCCAATTAAACTTTTACAGAGTTATTCACAGGGGGGAAACTGTGTTGGGAGTCAGCTACGTTAATTGTCATTGGATGTACGCTTGCCCAATTATTAGAAGTAGCTGCAAAGTGCTATCTGTGACACTTGTAACATGAATTCCCTAGATTGGAAACATCATCAGCAGCAAATTATCTTTAGGTCTAGTTAGTGCTTTTCAAAACCACTTCTCCTTCTCAAAAACAGCCACTGCTGCGGCACTGAATTCAGTGGGCGGCTCTCTGGGTTGCAGCTCGTGTTAGTCCTACTCAGA